TCATTGCACAGAAATGGTGACTGGAGCAGGTCAACTAGGAGCCACTAAGGGAGAAAAAAGTGACCAAAAGCCCACAGCTGAGAGGAAAAGAGGATGGAAGAAAACTTGCACAAAGGTATATAGTATTTTTTGCAATGTGGCACACCAGATGCCTTGACTAACCCTTCTATTGAAAAACAATTAAATTGCTAAACATAGCATTTTAAAGTGGTCTTAAATGTACTGAACAGCTGGTATGAGAGTAAAAAATACTTTGAAAATAAAGAGAAAATGAAGATGATGCCCAGAGAAGCAAAGTAAACAGCACTGAAACTGGCTTTGACCTTGGGGCGCTTGTGTTAAATTTGGTGAATTTGAGCAGTCATTTTTATTGCCTGGTGAGATAAGGAAGATAAGAGACAAAACCTGCACACATCTAATAAATAATCCTTCTTCCATGAAGTGGGGACCAAATGGCAGACAGTGTAAGGGTGAGCTAGAATATCTGACCCCAGAGGACCCCAAAGAACACTGCATGTTGCAGCTTAATAAGTAACCTTTGGGGGAATCTACCCTAAGAATCTGAATCCGTGAATCCGCCATGACATATGTTGGCAGCTTGAATTCACAGTACTAAGGTAGTCTAAAATAACTCATTTTGGTAATCCAGTTTAAAAATAATATTAGGTTAAACAAGCTTTACAACAAAAAGCATTTAAGATAGTCTCATAATAAAGATTTCATCAGGAAAACATACTCATTTTAAAGTTACATACATTTAATAACACACCTCAGAGTATACGAAGCACGACTCAAAGAATTATGAGAAGGAAAAAAAAATCCACAAATACAGTGGGAGATTTAACACATCTCTTTTGTTACATGGTAGATCAAGCAGACAAAAAATAACTAAGGATACAGAAATCTGAATGAAACTAACAAGCTTGATCTTACAGACCTATTTAGAACACCACACCGCAACACTGTAGAACACATAATGTTTTCAAGGATACATGAGGCATTTGTAATTACTGACCACATACTTTAAAAATCCCAATACTTAAGGCCACACCCCAAACCAATTAAATCAGGATCTCTGGAGATGGGACCCAGGCATCCACATTTTAAAGCTCCCCAGGTGATTACAACATCAAGGCTGTGAACCACTGACAGGGAAAGTCATTTACAGCCTTCAGTGCTTATATTAGAAAATACGGAAGGATGAAAATTAATGATCTAGAGTCTACCTTAAGTTAGAAAAAAACCAGTCAAATAGAGCCCAAAAAATTAGGAGCAAGAAAATAAAAGAGCAAATGACATAGAAAACAAATATATAGTAGAGATGATCAACAAAGCTAAAAGCTTATATTAAATCATCCAAAAAAATATTCCAGGTAAATAAAAAACTTAAATGTGGAAAGCAAAATTATGTAAGTTTTAGAAGACATTAAAGGAGAATATACTAGTATTTATGATTTTGGTATGGGAAAATTTTTTTTTAAAGAAACAAAATAAAAAACCATTAAGACAAAAACTGATAAATTTGACTATATTAAATTTAAAGATCTTATTTCACCAAAAGACACCATAAAGAGTGAAATGTCATAAATTGAGAGAAGGTATAAATGTATTTGCATATAACTGGCATATATGAAGAACTCCTATAGATTAATAAGAAATTGACCACCCAAAAGAAAATAAGCAGAAGACAGGCACTTCAAAGTGGAATGTCCAAATGCCCAACAGACATATGAAAATATGCTCGACCTCATTAATAATCAGCGAGAGGCAAAGTAAAAGCACAATGAGATATTATTTCACAGCACTCTCCTTTAGGGCACACTCCTGAGCCTGTGCTCTGCACTCCATCCTTAAGGGTCTCCTCCTTTCCTGTCCTTCCCTCTTTTTTTGGCAGCTGGCCCGTGCAGGGATCAAACGCTGGACTTTGGTGTTATCAGCACCACGCTCCAACCAACCAACCTAAGGGCCAGCCCCTCCTTGTCTTTTCTATGTAGGCTGCTCTGGTGATTACGCCCTGCACCATCAGTTGCTGACTTTTTCTCCTGTACATTTAACCCTTCTCTTTCTTTTGGCTCCTTCCTCAATAGCACACAAAATCACTCAGGTATTTCCCATGAATTAAAAAAACATCATTCCTTGATACCCTATTTTTATTTTCCAAATTTACCCAACCAACCTTATAGCCTCCAGGATCACCACGCCCACCCTCCAGTGACTACTTCATCATACCTCTTTCCCTTCAGAGCCAAAATTCTCAGGGCTGTGTTTGATCCTCACTGTCTGCACCACGGTCAGCTTCTACCCTTCAGTCTGCTAATATGCTCCCTCTTGCCACGTTCTTGAACACGTGTGTCCATCCTCCCTGATGCTGTCCTTCTAGGCTGCACGTCACCATCGTCTCTTTGCTCACCTCACAGACGTTTCTCAATATATTTTGGGTCCCTGTGGTGCTACTGTCAGCCTCCTTCCCTTCTATTCTTGTTCCTCCTTCGTGATCTTATTCCTTCCTACTTTTCATTTCTGCTTATGAGCTAATGATTTCTGAATCGGTATCTCCAGTATGAGCTTGACATATAATAGGTGTTTTACACAATGAAACTTCCTATTAAAAAGTGTCAGCACAGAGTATCATTAAATACCCAGTTCTAGCATTAAGACTACGTATGGCATGAGTTTATTCAATACCAGATTTTGCTTAGAGACAAAAATTACAACTCATTTCTGAGCATATTAAGAAAATCCTAAAGTGAAAAATTTGAAAAAAATGGTTGGCATAAATCTTTGGCTATGGAACCATAGTACTCATAACAGTCTATGCACATTGATAAAAACCCTCTCTATATTTCATTTTTTCTGAACTGTGAGCCATGATATAGATCAGGGTTGGCAAGCTATGGCCTGCATACCAAATCTGGGCCACTCTCTGTTTCTGTAAATAAAGTTTTATTGGAACACATACACATACATCCAATTATGTATCGTCTATGCCTGCTTTCTTGCTACAGTGGCAGAGCTGAGCAGTTGCAACAAAGATTATATGGCCCACAAAGCTTAAAATATTTATAGAAAAAGTGTGCCAGCCTTAATATAGATCAATACCTTTTCCACCATTAACATATCCCTTTAAAATGATAAATTGTGTAAAAGTTATATTTTCTAAGAGTAAGGATAAATCTTGGCTGTGGGAAAGCCCTTCCCATCCAAGTTTGAATGCAGGCGGGTTATATGGTAAGTAAGAACTGGTTTTCTCTGAGATTTAGTGGAAAGAACTATATTGATATTACTAAATATATCACTTAAGTGGTTTAAATAATCAGAGGCAGAAAATCATTGTACTATTTGGTGAGATCTGGTCCCCTAGGATAACTAAGTGGGGGGCAAGGGGGATTAAGTGGGTACTGAAGCTTTTAGAAAAGCAATGCAAACCACACTAAAGCCACTGGGATTCTTGCCTTGTCCGCAGGTGTTAATCTGGCCCAGGGCTTGTCTGCCCGGCGGTCATAGTCAGGGGAATCGGTGACTTCTACATACTCGTTAAACCGCAGGATTCTTCGAGCTTGTAGCTCTGCCACTGTGGGTCTCAGGCTGAGCTGCAGGAAGACAGGGAAAAAAGGCAGAGTTCAGTAAACCATTTATAGCCTCATGGTGGCAGTTTTCTATAGAGAACACTTCAAAGCTATGGTTAAATAAGGTCACTTTCAGGTATCAAAAAAAAAAAAAAAAAAAAAAAAAAAAAAAAAAAAAGGCAGCAACAGCATCTTGGGAATTTCTAATGAGAACTAGAAAGCAGTGTGTCCCAATTTCTGAGACTATAAAAATCATCATTGTTAGATAGGTCACAGTTTTTGGCAACCATGTGCATTACGCTATTTCCCCAACTTGCCTGGCACCGTGAGAAAGGCCCCTCTCATCCCTGACACAAGGACCATGCAGTGATACAGACACAACAGTAACCCAGACAGAGGATGGCTGGCCTGGTGACTGAATGATCAAGACAAAAGCAGTGGAGCTTTTAGAAATGAGAATACAAACCTCTGTTCCTATTATATTAAGCCTATATATACAGAAATGCACAAAGAAACGACACAAAAACGATCCAGTTGAAGGGTATGCCTACAGCGCTGCCATCCTTGAGAATAAGGATCAAGGCCCCAACTTGACATTAACCCTTGGCTGGAGGGGAGGGGTGCTGGAGAATCATGTCAGTGGGGCCATAACTGCTTAAAATCAGTTGCAACTTTTAAGACACTTCAAATCATTTGGGTTCCTCTATGTGGTCTTTGTCAAAATTGAATTTATAACTGTATTTAACCTAGCCAGTCCTTGGGGTATTTGTTTTCCTTTCTTGATCTTTTCTCAAGCCCAAGAATAAGACCGAAATGATCGTCATAGATGAAAGAAACCCGGGGCCCAGGCATCATCTACTCTCTGCTATTGAGGTTTATCCCCTTTTTTGGCCTTTCTCAGTTGCAAGATATCACAGTGGTTCCAGACAAATAGACCCAGGCCTCTATTTTACCTACAGGGCCCATTTTCAGGATTTTTTTCTCTTTTAAACATAGTCTGTGTAACACCAGACTACACATCGTCGACGTGGTCCTCTTTGGAGATATTCCTTATTTGCACAGGCTCAAGGATGGTACACTGGGCATATCCTCTATAGTCAAAAACAGCCACTTTCCTGGGCTTCAGTTTCCTCCTGAGTAAAATCAGAGGTTGCACTAACTCAGGCTCTAATATTCAAAGCATTCAAGGCCTCTGCCTGGTCCACACCCTGAGCCTGCTTGAGCTGGGATATGGTAACTATGGCTCCTTCTATCTTCATAGAGCCCCGGACAAAAGAGGGAATAATCTAAGTGCTTCTATGAGACTTTTAGTTGCTGCCCGCTCTATATTGCTAGCTTCTTCTTGTGTCTTTGGAGCAGGCAGAGATAGGTGGTAGAGAAACCCTTGCCCCTGAGGACTGACCAGAAGGCAAGCGACACTGGCCACACAGGTCAGAAACTCTCTGTCCAGTCTTTACCTTCAGAACTGCGCCAGCCATGGGGCAGCCATGAGTGCTATGAGCTGACCTGCACCTATGGCAGGGAGGCAGGGGGGCCAGGGTTTAGGGCAGGCACTGTTGCCTCATGGAAGGGCCCAACTGGATTGAAAAAAGACAATCTGGATCGTGGAGTGAGCCCAGAGCAATGAGGAGGGGCTACAGCTGTGTGCAGTGGGTGACCTAAGGGCCACTGAATGCCAGAAGAGCCATCCTTAGAAATTGAGTTTACCAAGTCAGCGTGATCATTATTTGACATTTAGGAGCTTTAAGAAAAAAAGAAACAAATTAAGGATCTTTTTCCCTGAAAAACAAAAACCTTCAAAATACAGTCCCTATAATTTTTCCATGGGAATGGAGTGTTTCCTGAATCGGCCTTAGAATGCTTTTTCTGTGGACTTCCCAGCCAGCCCACAGAAATGTAGGTCAGGTCACATACTTCACTGAGATGTTATATTTTAGTCACCCTGCCCACTTTCAGGTATGAAAGGTATATTTGAAGAATTATTACAAGGATTTATAATGCAATATAAACTTTGATAGTGCTTAATTTTTCCAAAGACTAATATTTTAACATAGAAAAAAAAGTAATGGTCCAGGAATCAGATTTATATTTTCGAAAATAAGTGGAAAAAACTGTCTGGGCTTTGGAGGTAAGCCATTTGTCAATTTGTGTAGCATGACAGCAGGCAGGATGGATGACCAAGTTCACTTAATAAATTACTCACCTAGCTCTGATATAGAATAGTGGCAAGTCTTCAGTGGTAACAGAATATTTCTTTAATATTTCCTAGACTAAATGGAAAGTGTGAGCATTTTTAAAACCAATTTTCAAATTTTTTTGGTGGCTGGCCCGTTTGAGGACCTGAATCCATGAACTTGGTATTAAAAGGCTGCACTCTAACTAACTGAGCTAACTGGCCAGCTCCTAAAATGATTTTTTAAAAATGGAAATATATACTAAAATGTATCTAATAATGGCTATCTCTGAATAGAAGACTTCCATGTGATTTTATTTTATTTTTAGTCCTTTTTTGTATTTTTAAAAATTTTCACTCAGAATATATTTTTTCATTATCAGTAAATGCAATTTAAAAACCTTTGTTAACTTTTCAAAACTAGCATAACATGTCATTATAAATAGAATTCACATTATGTGCATTATATTAATTTTAATGTCTATAATTATTTAGAAGACTAGGAATAATTATTCTTGAATATCAGATTTACATGTAGAGAGTGGATTTGTATTTAAAAAAAAATAAAGCATATCTCAAAATACACATGCTCATCAATAATCATAATTTCATCACCTTTCTGCTGAGTCTGCGTTTAAGTTCCATCTTTGCTTCCTGTTCTTCCTCTTCATTTTTTTCTGTTTATTAAGGGGGGAAAGGCATGATAACTTAGTTACTATAGATGATTTTATAATCAGAAAAGTTTATCAGGCCACACTTCTTTGACTCTAACAGATATTGATCAAACACTCCACCAACATATTTAAAAAGTTGTCAAAAGATTTTACAGAAAGATCAATCAAATATATATGTGATTTTTTTCCTTGTACTTCACTAATTTTAAACCCTTTTTGCTTTCTGATTTCTTGTTCTATTCTGAAAAAGTCACAAGAGTGCCCTTACTCTGGTGAAAGCCTTCTACCGCTGATCATCTCATGGGCTCATAAGCACAATTTACCAGAATTCAGATTAAAAATTTACTTCTGGAGCTAGCTTCATGTGAAAATCTGAGACATATTAAAAGAGCAAATTAGAACCATTCGATGCATGTCTGAGCTGCTGATTTCTGTTCAAGTCCAACCAAAATATTTGATTCGTCTTCCTTGGTTTCCATAGAAGCAGAATGTAAGCATATCTTTGGACTTTGCTTTAAAACCAGAATGTTCTGAATGGGGTTATGGTGTACTGTGGGTGGAAATTATTTATTTTCTTGTGACTTTGACTTTCCAAAGCCTTCTCTTTCTCTAGTGCTTCACCAAGTAGTACAATTTAATGCTGTCTAACAGATGAGATTAAAAAAAAAAAATGTCTGGAATTTTTAAAGAAGTACACACCCCTTCAGGTTTTCCTGGTTGCTTAATATGAGAAACTTCTCTCAGATGCTTCTGGTAGCTCATCATCTGTGTGATAAGTGAGTGTAAATTTTATTTCTTGGATACCAACGCTTATGAAAAATTATTTTTTAGAAAGTGCTGTTATGAACTCTATTGAAGGAAAATTACACTCTATAAAGGTTCAGCCAAAAGGCTGAAAAGAAAATATTTTCCATGAAAAGATAATTATATTTATTTTAAAATTCATATGGACTTTTTAACACTAAGATGATTTTTATCATGAAGAAAATATTGGTTTTCAATATTGGCAACATCTGTACTTGTTGGTTGAACAGGCTAAATTCTCTATCAGTTTTCCTTCTCTGGACAGGGAAAGGTTTCTACATTCTTCTAAAATACTAATTTTAATTCATAAGAAAGAGGATGATCAGTTTGTTATTCAGGCAAAGAGTGAACATAAACTGAAACTGCCCACAAGACAAGAAATAACTAGTTAATATCTTTTCATTAAGTGCCTGAGTGTCAAACAAATCTGGTTATAATTCATATTTCTCCCTATGAAAAGCTGTAGGGTTTTCTAATTGCTTCACAAAATATATATATCCTTTCATATCCTTAGGGTCAAATAATTACCTTATATGAGTTGGATAAAGCTTGTGGATTGTCAATTATACATAATACACAAAAGCCAAACTTATGGTTCATATGATTCAAACCAGAGCTTTATAGCGTGAGGGCTTTAATGAAATTATTAATAAAAAGAAAAACACAATCCTTAAGACATTGTAGTCAATTCTTGTGATTGACTAAATGATTATGCTACATTTTTAAAAGGTACTTTTCAAAGACAAAAAATTGAGTATCTAATACATCCTAAAGTTAACAAATACTCCAATTTTCTTTAAATACACAACATGTTATTTCTTGGAAGATTAGATAGTTTTGCCTTATTAAATATATTGACAGCCAGTGATGTTTAAAAAAAGAAGGGCCAATTGCAGTTAGGAAAGTTAAATAAACAGGATTTTACCATCTGGGAATTTTTTTCTGACGTCAGGAACTGACTTCCTTACATTTCCCATGTTTAAAACTGTACTTTTAAAGAAGTCAGATGAAAAGAGTGAGAGGTGCAAGGAAGCCAACGTGACTTCCTCTGAATCCTTTTGAACAGTCATTGTAAAATCTACAAAGAGTCAAGGTTAGGACTTAAACTTAGTATTTGAAAATTCACTGACGTTTTTGCACTTTTCACTCATCTTTTGATTCATTAGAGTACTAATTTTAAAGGTGGATATAAATTTTTCTGGTCACTTTAAACAGAGTGGAGCGACATTCACGAAGGAAGTGATGTGACTCCTTGACAAATATTGTTCTCAGTAACTCTCATCAGAGCAGAGAGGGTGGACATTTCAGAACAGCCACGGGAAGCATTTCTCACAAACACAAACAATAGGTGTGGTTTAACAGCGACGGGCACTACAGGAAACCTGACTGGCTAGCAAGTGTTGCCCCGGGCATTTTGTTGATGAGCTAAAAGGAGAAAAAGAAAAGTACAGAAATACCAGCAACTGCAGTATTATATTCTTGAGTCAACAATTCAGATAAAATGGGTTCAAAAAAGCCAAATATTTTTTGTGGGCTTATTTATCTTTTTGTTGTTTTATATGTTTCCATGTGGGCATTTTTAACAAACAAAAATACATGTATAAACTTTCTTTGAAATGCATCAAAAAAAAAAAAAAAAGCTGGATCCCTGAATGGATAGATAATGAGATAAAGCAAGATGTTAATGATAGATTAGAGATGATAGATATATATAGGTGTTCACTGTAAAATTCCTTCAACTTTTCTGTATGTTTTAAAAATTTCAGACCAAAATATTGGGGAAAAATACATGTTGAACTCAATGACCTAGCACATTTTTTCTCTATAAAAGATATAGTTGAAATTACATGTACAGCTAAATATTATAAGAGGCTCTGCATTTTTTAAATCCCAGCTCTGTAAAAGATGCTCCATATCCATCACTTTCCTAATTAGCAAAAGTTGACCTTTCAAGCACCGAAAGTTGCTATTTTATCAATTTTAAGGAACTGTTTCTAAAATGCACAACTAAATATAACTTCATATGCACGTTTTTTTTTTTTTTTCACATACATGTCATTTAAAAAAAACTCTAGTGTCACCAAAATAGGAAAGAAATCAAGTAAGGAATGTTATGGGGAATGATACTAAGACATAAAATGTGTCCTGTGGTCTCCGATGAAAGCTGTCAACATTGACTGACACCTGATTCATGTTTATTAAACTAGTGATGGCTCTGATTTGAGAACTGTTGAATGTTTCATGCTGTGAATTAGTTTCCTAGTCTATCAAGAAAAGATGATCTAGTTAAAATAAGAGTCCTTACAAGTCACACCATATCACACATAGACTGTTCTTTGAATAGACAATCATATTGCCTTTGAACAAAAGTTGGAAATGAAACATACAAACCATCAAGAGCAATCTGTGTGGAAGAACCCAGAGGCAAACGAGCTGAGTGTGTGTAAGCTATGCCCCATCCAGTTCCTCGTGACTGCTCAGCGGGAAGCATGGGATAACCTCCCCCAGTTCTCTTCTGCTTCCCCTGGCCACACAGCACTGCGCCAGGAGATCAGAAGCCAGTTATCAGCCTCTCCAGACTGGAAACGTGCTTTCGTTTCCAGAATAAACATGCTTGGATGAACTTAGAAGGAAGTAAAAAAGGTCTAAAATCAAATCTGAAGTTGACTTTGGTGTTTCAGTCTTTCCCGAACCTCCAGGAAAACGGCGTATAGAAGCCAACCCAACACTTAAGATCAACATGCAATAAATTTCCAGATCCATGAAACAGTTCCTTAAATAACCAAACTCCAGTGTGGTTTGGCACTATTTGTCTCACAGGAGTAAGAAAGAATTACCCAGAATGTTCTCTTCCTTTTTTTCTCGGTACTGCATTAAGTGTCCAATAGGACATAATCTCTGTGTTTAAGAAGCACTTGAGCTTGCTTAACATTTAATTCGACAAATATTTCCCAGGAACCTACTATCAACAGCAATGAGCCTTTTCAGTTATTTTGTTGTCAAAAGATGTTGCTTCCACCCTTCCTTAGAAAAGATAAAACAGAAAATTTTCCTTCTTTTCTAGCCAAGATTTTTTCTTCCTCCTTACTGGCTGTTCTACACATAGATGGTCACTTTGTTGGTTCTATTCCAGTTTTGCTCAAAAACAGCCAGAAAAAAGCATTCGAAGGAAAGAGATTCCCCCTTACATGGTGGTTCCTCTCACTGTTCAATCTTCATTGTAGGATCGTCTTAGTACTAGCAATTGTAGTATAAATATGCTACTAAAATCTTTCTTTCCTTCAGGAAAGAAAATAACTCAAATTGTAGGACGGGGGTCACCCAGCAGGCCAACTTAACTCTACCAGCCTGGTTGAGAAGGCTCTCCCCCACGCCAGCCGCTCATTACTATTGCAGTACTATCCAGAGTTCTGCCCATCTCTGCTCTTGGATGTTTCATACAATAAAAAGCACACTTGGAACTGGGTTAATAATACTTAAAACTAAAGCTAGTAGTTTAAAATTAAAAATTTCCATTTAAAAATATCCATTTCTTAATTCACTGCAGTTAGTTACCACATTCATCCATAACCGCATGACAAACTGTGTTTTTATTAGTTCTATAGCTTTAACATACTTACTCCAATGCTACTGTAGTGAATAAAAAATAAAGTCAAAGAGAACAGAGAGAAAAACAGAATGGAAAAATAAAGTAGGAAAATAAATGGAGCATCTTTATGTGTTGAGAAATTATAAACAACTCAAGAGGAAGGAAAATGAAATAGATTACAAATTTTCTTTTATCACAATTATGTTGTAAATTGAGTCATTTGTTAAGTCTAGCAACAAACTGTATTATTAAGAATAATATAAAAATGTTTGACTTATTTCCTTGTGGATTCTTTGGCCTTTTTCTGACATTTATTTGTAAGCAGATCAAGAGCATTTTCTTCTATTTAAAATTTGGGTAAAAGGATACATGGAATATATTCCATCTTTCTTAAAAACAATTGTCATGAGCAAGACTAGTCTGGTAGATGTCAGGCTCAAAGCCATGAAATGAAATATAAAATTCAAGAAATTACTTTTTAAAATATATAAACAACTACATGTAAATGTGATATAAATGGGCCATTTCAGTCACTTGTGAGTAAACTAATATATTATGGTTTCCTACTGATAAATGACAGCTTGCTAATGGTTATTAATGAAATCATTGTATAGTACAGGATACTCACGTTTTAGGATATTTCTTTGCTCTAATTCTTCAGTTGTAGGCCTCTGGCTAAGTCTCCTTTGATGACAAAAAGATATATTACAGGTTACTGGGAGACACAAAATAAAACAATAAACAAACAAAGCTAATATTTTTTTTCATGTTCTGAGAAATAAAAACCCATTTTTTCCCCCAAGATTTTTTTCTTTTAATTTTTCCCCCCAATTATATTTATATTTATTCTTGTGGGATACAGTGTGTTGTTTCAGTACATGCATAAATGACACAATGTAAAAGGCGATTTTCAAACCTACAAAATAAAAGTCCCCTTTCCACTAGTTCTTCCTCATTTTAGAAACAGATTTCCTGAGTGTCAGCTAGCTACCTGGCTACAGACTTCTGCCTCCCTAGAAGCCTGTGTGGTCATGTAGCTGAGTGTTTGCAAGGGGACGAGAGCAGAGTGATGTCTGTCAGTTCCACTCTTTACCCTGAAAATGTGTATTCCTGCCTTTCTCCTTCCCCCTTTCACAGGCTAGAATTTAAACATGGTTGTGTGAGCCAACTTTGCCCATGCAGGGGAGACTCTCCATGGGGAAGGAGTAACAAGATGGAAGGAACCTGGGTGCTTGGCTGCCTGCAAGGAGCAAGCTCCACACCCCGGTCAGATGGTACACCTACCTCTGGACTGTGATGTGAAAAAGAAATCAACATACTTTGTTTGAACCACTGTGTTTTTGGTCTCTATTACAGCAGCTTAGCCTGTAGTCTAATTAATATACAGATCATTTGAGTCTAAAATAGGCTGCTGCTCAAGAGTTCATACCAACTCAGGACATGATCAATCTATGCTGCACAGTGTTTTAATAGAAATACTGCTTTTAGGATCTTAAATGAACATAGAGTTGTCTCTTGCTATGTGTGGGGGATTTGGTTTCAGGACCTCCTGTGGGTACTAAAATCCATGGATGCTCAACCCCCCGATATAAAATGGCATAGTATGTGCATATAACCTACACACATCCTACTGTATACTTTAAATTATTTCTAGATTACTTACAATGCCTAATGCCATGTAAACGCTATGTAAATGGATTTATACTGTTACTTTAGGTATTATTTTTTATTGTCATACTGTTATTTTATATATTTTAAAGTATTTTTGATTCACAGAAGGATGAATCCATGGATATGGAGCCCATGGACAGATATGAGGGACTACTGTATTATGTACAAAGTTATCTTAAGTTATTTTTTATTTATTTATTTATTTTTCCTTTTTGTCTTTTTTTGTGACCGGTAACAGGATCGCAACCTTTGGTGTCGCGCCCGTACCGCGACCGGCAACGGGATCACAACCCTCGGTGTCGTGCCTGCACCGCGCTCAACCAGTGAGCGAACCGGTCTCTATATGGGATCCGAACCCTCGGCGGGAGCGCCGCCGCGCTCCCAAGTGCCGCACTCTACCGAGTGCGCCACCGGGCTGGCCCTATCTTAAGTTATTTTATTTAGGTCCTTCCCATCTGCCTTCAAAGAAACCCAGGCTCATCTGTGATTAGCAGCTATTTGTACATAGGAGCTGATTGTCCTAATAACCCTTTATTTATTTATTTTTAGAAAGTGTAATTTTATTAATACTATTTTTTACATTCTAGGATGTTGTTGTAGAGCAGTTGGGAGGGAAGGAGAGAGGGGAAAGGGGAAGGAAATGGGATGGAAGAAGGAGGAATGAGGAGGGGTGGGATTGAGGCCTGTGGCACCCCCTCATTCTCACAAGGCAGATTGGGGGGCTTCAAGCAGTGGCTTGGTCATTGACAGGCTGGAAGCAGATGTCAGGGGGATGTGGCCTAAGCCCTCACCTCCCACCATCCTGGTTTGGGAACCCAGGGCCCTTTTTGCTGCAGCTTGGTGGTCATAGCTGGGCTGGTTGCATGTGTTGGCGGGGGTGTGTGGCCGAAGCCCAAGGTCCCCCACCACCCTGGTTCAGGAGAGCCTGGGACACTTCCTGTAGCAGCTCAGTGGTCACTGCTGGGCTGGCTGCGGGTATCAGGGGGTGTGGCCAAAGCCTGAGGCCCCCCACTGCCCCACCTCAGAAGAGCCCAGGGCGCTTCCTGCAGCAGCTCAGTGGTCACCACTGGGCTGGCTGTGGGTGTCAGGGGGCATGGCCAAGGCCCAAGGCCCCCCACCACCCCAGCTCAGGAGAGTCTGGGGCACTTCCTGCAGCAGCTCGGTGGTCATCACTGGGCTGGCTGCAGGTGTCAGGGGGGCATGGTTGCGGTCCTCATCCCCCACCCTCGGGACTGGTTGCAGGTGTCAGGGGGGCATTGCTGAGGCCCCCAGCCCTCCCCTCTTTCTGGCTTGGTAGCCCAGGGGGACTTTCAGTCCTTCTAGGTGTTCTACATGTTCTTTGGTAAAATGACACCTTTATGTGCCAATATGAAACTTTGTCTCTGGTTGTGGGTACTTTGTTTTTTCTGTCATTTCTGTGTTGGATTATATGCTGTTCCCACCATTTAAACTCTGCACTGGAACTAATTTGTTGTCCTTTGCTTACTTCTAAAATGGGGGAGCTTCCTGTGGGGACCAGTACTTGGGCTGTGTGGTTGAGTAAATTGCTGCTTTGCTGCTGATTCCCTAGGGAAGGCTTTTTGTGCAGCTCAGGTTTTAATGGTTGACTTTATAGGTACTTCTGGCTCTCAGGATCCAGTAAACCTGGGTTGTGTAGAAACTCTGGTCTGGGCCTGAGTCTTTTCAGCAAACTGCTCCCCGTGCAATTCTATATTCCTGACCTGTCTCCTCTGAGTGGTCCTATGCTGATCGGGGGGGCAGATCAGCTGTGCTTGCTGTGCCCCAGTGTCCTTCGGTAGGCCCATCTCCCCGACCACCTGTGCACCAAACACTTCCCATTGGACGGGCTGTGCACCAGTTGCTTGCAATCACTGGCCTCTGAGTGGCTCCTTTTTTCAGTTGTTCTGGCTCCTCGCTCCTATGTGGGTCCACGGGAACTCTATTAGTGGTCTTGCTGGTCTGGGGGCCACCATGGCCCTTTCCCTCTGCCACCTCCAAGCAACTCCATCTGAAGGACACAGCTGCGGCTTTTGCCAGCTCCTGCTCATGCGCTCCCCAGCTCCAGCCAGAAGTGGCTGGGGTTCAAAATGGTCAGTGATTTTTTTCTTTTTCTCATCATGTCTTCTCCTGTCTTCACGCACTCCGTAGGTCTCTCCGCCTCTTACCCTGAGCTCTAGTGGCCCGGTTTGGCTGTCGTTGTTTTTTATAGTTGTAAATTGGTTGATTTGTGGGAGAGAGTGACACTGGGGACCATCTATTCTGCCATCTTGACCAGAAGCCTGCCTAATAACCCTTTATAGCTTTGTTCTTTAGTCTTGTTTACATTATTAATTTGTTGTTAATCACAGAGAAAAACTTCCTCTGGACATAGTTTGGATTTGTGCAAATTAAACTAATATCCATGAAAGGTAATCTTAATATAAGATACTACTAAGTCTTACTGTTTCTGGCTATGACAAAAATGACATGGAGTTGAAATTAATGATATTTTAAATGTCTCATTAAAAATTTTGTTGAAATCTAATCTTCATTAGAGCTACCTTAAAATTAACTTAAATAATTGAGCCCACAAAGGAACACAGTGAATATCCACATCTACATCAGCCAGATTCGGTGCTGTCCACGTACCCCTGAACCCTGTGCTGCATACCTGTACTACCAATCTATTGTACTCTATATCAAGCCCCCAGTACACTGCCCTCTTTTATTTATGGAGTTTCTTCCCTCTGGAATGCCTTTTTCTCCTTCTCCACCTACTATCATCTTACGAATAATTAAACTAGTACCTTAAGGTAGGTGTTTGACCTCTCCTGCAAGTGAGAATTAAAGGCTCCTGGTTCTTTGCCCACACACAGTGGTTGTACACAGACTAGACACCTACTAAAGTACGTTTCATACGGGTAATTATAAAGATAATAATCCCAGCAACCATTTATTCATACTTTTAAAATCCTAGGTACTATGCTTAAATCACATTATCTTAACTCCTTAAAACAATTCAGCAAGGTAGTCAGTTTCCATTTTATAGATGAAGAAATGAGAGTAATTAATTTGCCTAAGAGAAAACACTAGTGAACACTAGAGCCAGGATTCATACTTAGGTCTTTTGACTTAGATGTTTGCACACGATCCCACTGTGCAGTACATAACCCTGCCTCTTTCACCAGACAGGGAGTTCCCTAAGGTGATAACTGTGGGTGATCTACCTTTAAATGATATTGATTAGATGTGCTGTGTTTATACAGAAACAGTTCTTTAAAATTTACATATTAATAACAGCAAAAACCCTGCTCCATTAAAATTCTACATATATACAGTCTGTGTGTATTTACAGAGGCTTTTAAATTTTGGGGGGGGTTGCAGTGAAATCCTAATCTATAAAAGAGACAGAAGCTGTTGCTGTTGGATGGTTAGATCTGGGGTGGAGAAGTCTCCTCCCATCTCACTCCAAACATACACCCACACATCCCTGGCTCTCCCCGTATCATCTCCAATAAGCAGTCAGATGAAGCAGTTAGAAGTCCACTGCTGTATGGGATTCCACGGTGTCAACATTCTTCATGAGACTCCTGCTTTTGAGCATTTGGTTTGTTTTAATTTGTCATTACTATAGATAGCCTTGTAATAAACATCTTTGTAAAACATAGGATTTTTTTTTTTCCCTTTTGGACTATGTCCATGTCCTTTATGTACAGTTCCCCAAAATGGAATTACCGTATAAAATCAACTTCTTCATAATTCTTTTATCATTGGAAAATCGTTCAGAAATACTGAACAAGAGCAATGGATATGTGTCCTATTTTCCAATAAATTTGCCAACATGGAGTTTACTTTTTAAATATGTCTTAATAGTTTAATAGATGCATAATAAATTAATAATAAGAAACATTTACTTTTGCTGAGTGTTTGCTATGATCCAGGCACTAAAGTGACTTAAATGTATCATCTCATTTAATCCTCACATGCTCTTGGGTTAGTTAGCTCTGTTTTACAGATGGGGACATGCAGGGGCTCTGTCCTGCCTTGTTTTAAATACTGTATTTCTGTCAGCTCTGGATAAGCCCACACTCTGATTTTGAACAGCCCTTCTCCCAGTGGTTCTCATGGTAATTCTCACTAAGTTTATCACAACCTCAAATATCTTCCAAACCTGCTGCCAAGTCCCTCATCCTGTCTCAGCGAATGGTTTTCCTTTGGCCCACACTGAAAGAGGTGACATTTATTTCCATTTGTTTTGATTTTATAAAATTAATCCATTATTTATGCCCTGATTCTATAAAGCACATCTATTATCCTTCAAACTTCTTGCCACCCACACATCTGACATCTAAAACTGTCTCTGCTGAATTTTCCTCACTGATAAAATATTTACTTTCTCTCCACTTATTCATATATTCCTTTGTTCCTTCCACTATGGTTTTCTGAAAATGGATTTCTTGGGCCTCAGGTTAAATGAATATTTGAGTATTTAAAATGTGGTTGCTGCTATTATTGTAAATGCAATCTCCCTTTTTCACATTATTTTCTTGCTATATGTCAATGTTATATACACATGGCATTGATTTATAAATCTTGTATATCTGATGAAATTATTACGTATAGCATTTTTTGGTCACTTTTCAGAGTTTTCTATGTATATAACTATGTATAATAACAGCGTTCTTTCCTATAATTTATATCTTTTTTTCGCTATAAATAATTGTGGCCAGACTTTCAGTATAATAAGAGTGGGAATCTTTGCTTCTTTCCTTAACTTTAAGGTTTCTCCATATACTAAGATAAATAGCATAATTAAAAAAAAAAAACAACTCCTGATTTGTTTAGAATATTAACAAAGAACCAGAATTTTCTTCAATGCCACCTTAACATTTATGAAGATAGGTATATGATACTTTACTTTTTTATCCCTTACCATGGTAAACTATGATGATATTCTTTGTTTTTAAAGCATACACCCTATTTTGCATTATTCTTTTATGCAAATATTATTCAATGTCTTAAATTCTTCATGGTGAAACATAAACAAGGGCAATAAAACAATCAAAAAACCTAGAAGCATATACTTTTTTACATAGTGTAAAAAGTACAAAATAGGAGATGGTATAAAAGAAAGAAGACCGGCAGAGAGCCCAGGAGCTGAAATGCTAGCCCTGGATCTGCTCCTCAATAAGGGAATGTCCTTGTAAATTTCCTTAATCTCTCCGGGCCTCAGAGACGCCCCTTGTTTTTACTTGGTAAGATGACAAGTTTAGACCTCTAAGATCTTTCCAGCTCGATACTGTTGATCACATTAGTTCCTTTACTTCTGCTGTCTCTTTCCTGAAGCAGTGAATGGTCAAAGTTTAGGGCTGAAGTGAAAAGACTAGAGTGAGAAAGAGACCATTGGTGACCTACTCCCAAACTTCCACCAGTCCTGGGAGGGTTCCAGAGCAGAGAGACCCTCAAGGCCTCTTCTTAGATTCCCTGTTAGGCTGAGCTTTCCCTTCAGATGGAAAAACAGCCAACAGCCTCTGGATCCCCACGCCAACCCTCCAGTTGCACCGTGGTCATGCAAGTCTTCCACTTCCAAGCAAGGACAGCAATTTCCTCCCACCTCCAAATCCAAATCCACTCTGGCATTCCAGCCTGTTCCCTTCTCCCAAATAGGCATCCTGTTGTGGATGCATCATGAGAGAAGTCATCAGAATAACTAATACTTAAATGTGCTTGAACTGATAATCTGAAATGAGAGCTTCAGAGTGAATGAAGCTCTATTATAACTGCCAGTTCAATGGACTTCCAAAGTCACTAGTAGCAAAAGCAGAAATACCACACCGCAGCTAGAGACAGAAGAGATGTCAGATGAACCATTTATTTGAAGTTAAAAAGGGAAAGTTTAAATATGGGGCTATAGCTATTTGACTTGGGTGGAGCCAGCCACTGTAGCTAAGTAACATCTCTACAGCCTCACACTCCCCAGGACAGAACCTCACAGTGTTCACAGGAATGCTAGCGAGTCTGTGGATTAGGCTAGAAGTTGGGCAAACTTGGTCCACAGGCCAAATCCAGCCTGCCACCTTTTTTGGTAAATAACGTTTTACTGGAACACAGTCACACTCATTTGTTTATATATCATTTATGTCTGCTTTCATGCTACAACAGCACAGCGGAGTATCTGCAACACAGACCATTTGGCCAGCAGAGCCTAAAATATTTACTAACTGGTCCTTTTACGGAAGTCTGTTGACTCCTGGATTAGGCTTTGGTGACCTCAAAGCCAATGGCTAACTGGATCAAAGGGCAGGTTCTTCAAGTGGTTCACCATCCAAGACTAACTTTAGAAGACCAGATAGGCCAGATGTGCCTGTACACAAGGAATTCCCAAAGCTCCCAGTTAGGTAGGAAACTTCAAGAGGGAGAAAAGTATGAATTAGTTAATGCTGTCCTAAAATGTCAGCAATTACCTGACCAACTTGGTTCCAATCTGTTGTCGGATTTCCTGCCTCTCTTCTTCAGATGTACGCTGCAAGATGTTTTTGTCCTCTAATTCTTTCTTAGATGGTCTGTTGCCAAGTTTGATAGCAAGAGTATCCCTTCGTCGTATTTTACTTGCCAAAGCACCTGAGGATTGAAAAAGGACAGTAATGCAGAGAAAGCAGCTTTTCGCCAGAGAACTTGGGTTACACGTGGACTGGACTTTAAACAAAGCCCATACCAAATTTTTTATCCACATGCAAGAGGGGACTCTTAATTAACCTAAGGAAAGAAAGATTTCGAGTTGGATAGAGTTCATTTTGAAAAAACTGAAGACCTATTTTTTTAAATGTTCTGAAAAATATTGGGACACCATGAAAAAACTTGGAAGTATCACCTCATCATTTGGAAAGTGTTATTTGAAGTTTATTTTGCTGAGATGCTGGATCATGAAAATTACTGATTGCACAATGCTTTTTCTTGCTTTTCTTTTCCAGTTTTGAAAAATGAGCTCCTTTGCTTGGACTGTACAGTTAATCCTTGTCTTCTTTCCTCCACTCAGACACCATGCCAGCAAACAGTCTATCTTTTACAACAATGTTTTAACCCTCAATTATCCAGGAATTCTTAAAATCTCAACAGATGATAGTTAATACCAGGTGGATGATAATGATTATTTTTTGCTCCCTACAAATTAGAAGAAATTTGACAACTGTTATATAATCATTAATATAGTAACAACTTTTCATAACCTATAAATTTAATCCCACAGTGAGTTCTTCACAAGTCATCCTGCTCAGAAGTTAAAAAAAATCATAGCACTTTCCAGTTCCCCAAGTTGTCCATAAATGGCGGGCTTTACCCACTTCAGGATCATTCTTTCCTAGAAGGTGTCTCACTTATTGAGGATGAGTGGTTGTTTTTAATTCTCAAAATATATTTGTCATTCTTGACTCGTTCCTCCCTTCCCTCTCTTTAAACTCCAGTATAAAAGGGAGTGAAACTCTGGAACATCTCCAATGAGTAAGCCAATGAATCCTGCCTTGAATCCTGCTTCGAGAATGATCCCAGGATGCAAGGACCATCTTTGATCACACCAAGAAAAGCCTCTGTCATGGGAAAGCCTTGATTCTTTCTACACAGACAAGTATGTAGGCCCGACCCACTCCTGTGACTTCACCTTCCAGAAAGGCCTGTCACCTCAAGTTCAACTTTAGGATATACACCTTTATAATTTGAGAAAGGAAGATGAGGGGAAAGAACACATCAGATGTCCGGTTCCTAACAAGGCATACTTGTTCTTTATGAAATGCAGCTGTGGCCACCCACCACCCACTGTCCTCCCACCTCTTGAAAACAGTCTTACTTTCTCCACTGCCATCCTCATCCTCATCCTCTTCTTCGTCGTCATCGGTGTACAAGATAGGCCCATCGGAGTCAGAATCATTGGCCTGGTAGTCCCTTTGGCCTTCGTCCTCTGGGGCACTGAAGGATTCCGAAGATTCTCCCATCAGCCCAGGAGTCAGTAGCTGGGGTGCTGCCTTCCCCAGCTCGTCTTTGGTTGTGAAACTGTTAAAGGCACAGAAATACAGGGGTGATGTGAAGCTCAGAGCAACCCTCAGGGACACCAACACCATGAAAAGGAGTTCTAGTTTCATGGGCATTCTTCAGGCTGTGGAAAGGAGAAACCAGACATAGGCCAGCTAAAGTCCCTGAAATGAAAAGGCAGTGCTGTCTTACTTAATGCTCGAGGTTTTACATTCTTCACCAAAAGGCTAGATGGTGTCTAATCATCTAAGACTCTAGATGGTGTCCAATATATTTAGTAAATGAATATGGCAAAACTTATTTACTAAATGAATATGGTAAAACTATATTTTGCAGATTTATTTTTCCATAGCAATGGGAGTTCCGTGGAAAGAATAATGGGCTGGAAGCTCCTGGATATTTGACTTTGTCTTCACTTTTTGTTTGACCTATAACTCCTACTTATTCTTCAAGTCTCAGTTAAAGCCTCAGCTCCTTTAGGAATCTTTTGTGGGTCTTCAGTTCAGTTCCTTGCCCTGCCTCTCTGCTCACATGGTGACCTGAAGACAACCCCACTGGAGTACTTGGCATATGCACCCAGACCACCCATTCTTGCCTGCCTTCTTAACCCCCACAAGTTCCTTGACAAGCACCCAGGAGGGTAGGGGTATAGAAGAGCACATCTTGTTTCTTTAACATATGAATTAATCCTATTTTTATCCCAGCTAGGGTATCACCAGTCAACAATCATTTATCCCCTCTGTGATTTCATTTCTTCATTTATAAAACCGCCTCTCACAGGATTACAGTAATAACCTAAGATGGATAAAGTGTGAAAGTTAAGTAAACTCTTCAGAAGAAAGGTGCTGTGCAAGGATGCAATCATTTTCTATTATTTAGCTTTGTAAGAGTCTCTGGTTTAAAGAGGTGTTATAAATATACAAAGCTTTCCAATTTTCAAAGACTAAAACAAAAACATATTATACTAAAAACAATGTAATTTTCATTGTAAGATACAGAACAAACCCCCAAATTGCTTTCTGATATGAATAGAAGAAGCTACATCTGGATGTCATACCTGTGAAAGACTACTTAGAGCAAAGCCTGTCTGCCATTCTCACTAACTAAAAAAAACAAAAACAAAAACAAAAAAAGTTCTTTGAATAATAAACACAGGTAAATTTTATCAGAATATGAGGTATTTAAAATTCTACTTTATGGTTATAAGCCTAAGTGCTCTCAAAATTCTCTATTTTTCACTTACTAGAAAAAAACAACATTCTAAATTCTTGTTCTCCAAGGGGGACATATAAAATCTCACCTTTTATTGTGTACGATATATATTTAACCATTTTTAAGTGTACAGTTTAGTAGCATTAAGTACATTCATACTGTTGTGTAACCATCACCACCATTCATCTCCAGAACCTTTTCATCTTCCCAAATTGAAACTCTGTACTCATTAAAAATAATTTTCCATATTTCCCCCTGGCCCCCGTCCCTGGCCCCTGGCCACCACCATTCTACTTTCTGTCTCTATGAATTTGACTGTTCTGGGTACCTCATGTAAGTGAAGTTATACAGTGTTTGTCCTTTTGTGTGTGACTCACTTCACTTAGCACAATGCCTTCAAGGTTCATTCATGTTGTAGCATAAGTCAGAAGTTCCCTCTTTCCAAAGCCTCAATGATACTCCACTGTATGTTTACGCCACATTTTGTGTGTTCATTCATCAGTTGACAGACATTTGTGTTGCGTCCACCTTTTGGCGATTGTGAATAATGCTGCTATGAACATTCAAATTCAAATTCAAGTTCTTGCTTTCAATTCTTCTGGCTATATACACATAAGTGACACTGCTGGATCCTATGCTAATTCTATGTTTAATTTTTTTGAGGGACCATCATACTGTTTTCCACAGTGTGAAATCTCATCCTAAATAGAAGATCTATTTTTATGGGAGAACTTTTCCACAATCTGATTTTTAGTTAATTGCCACTGGAAGCCATTCTTGTTTGAATAGTCTGCCATTATGGGTGACCAGGGCACATTAAAAAGATATGCTAATTAATAACAGCAGAACAAAAGATATTTCAGAGTTGAGTCCTGTTACTTGTTCATGTCATTGTTAACTAATTTATTAAAGTACTAATTATTAGTTTAATCTTACCATTTGTATTTCATAATGTTTCACAGTTTTCAAAGAGTGCAGCATCCACTTACAACTTACAAATATTCTATAGAATAAGGAGGGCAGATGATTGATAGTTGATGGGGTCAAAGCCAGGAGTGAGTCACCCAACCAAGGTAGCAAGTCCAGTCTAGAGCTAGGACTGAAGACTCTTAGTCTACCTGTTAAACGTTATATTATATTTTATACTTAATACTACAAGTTATATTAATGTTATAAGTTATATTTAAGTTAATATTACATACACACCAAATGTGTATCAATCAGCTCATGACTTGGCTCTCAAGTTTTTCCCAAGGGTTCCTGGGTATGTTGGACAATATAGTACATCCAGTAAATGTTTGTGGAAATGGACTGAATAAGCTCCAAGTGAGGTTATCAGGTTCTGCCTTGTGTTATACCACACATATGTGTTATTGACTAAGCTGCCGATAAAGAGAAACCTAACAAATAGTTAATACCCTGCAATATGAGAAAAGAGGCATTTATTTTTATACACAGCCACTTGCCCTCTTTAAAACTTTGATATTTGTGTTCCAAACAGAAGTTTCTTCATAAAATGACAGGATTTTCACACATTAGTTGACTAAACATAACTCAGGGAGAGTTCTAAGTAAAGCAAGTGACTAAGTGCCAGAAATTCTAATCCACATATCCATTTGAAAAAAGAAGAAAGAATTTGGAAGAAAATTTGAGAGACTACTTACTCCAGGTTCATTAATTCAAGAGCAAACACAAATTACCCCTATATGATGAACTGTAATTTAAATTTAAAATTTTGAATATACAGAGAAGAAAATCTCGATGAGCTCTTCTAGGAAAGCATTGTAGTTACTCTGACTGACAGGAAAATCTATCATAAGTATCCTCAATGTCTAATGATGTCCTAAGCTCACTCCTTATTACAGTCCCAGTAGAAATGGAGAACAGAAACTTACCTCTTTTGTCTGACAGTTCTTTAAAAACTTGGGCTGAAGACTGATATTAAGCCCCCAGTATGCAGCGTGGTGCTTAGCACAAGAAAGTGCACTCCCTAAATGTTTGTGGAAATGAACTAGACAGAGTCAGGTCACCTTTGGATACAGGCTCTCTGAATGCTTAAGACTATTTAAGGAAGTGTTTTATAGGTTGCACCTCGTTCTTCAGTATATTGAACAATAAACCCATATACTCAACCTATTTCCCCAAATTTAGACCTTAACTTAAACATTTATACTTTCTGGACACATTGGACAACATTTTGGTAAAAACTACTCTTAGCTATTCTGTCTCACTCACTTTTGTATCTTTGGTGCTTAGCACAATGCCCAGCACAGAGAAGGTAAGCAAAAAATATATGCTGAAAGAATGAATGTTCAGTTCTACAGGTTGGGAGTGATTACAATGCTGAAAAATACTACAATTAAATGATGACATTTGCTATGTGCTGGAAGTATTAAGGACCTGTTTGGTTTAAATGTGTTCCTCAGAATTCATGTGTTAAAAACTGAAGCCTCAATGTGACAGTGTGGCCTAATGACAGTGTGGTGTTCAGGTCATGAGGGCTCCACCCTGAATTTCATTATAAAAAGGGCTTGTGGGTGTGGGTCTATTCTCTTGCACTGTTTGCCCTTCCACCATCAGCCATTGGATGATGTAGCAAGAAGGCCCTCGCTAGATGCCAGCACCTTGATCGTTGACCTCACAGCCTCCAGAACTGTGAGCCAATAAATTTCTTTTTTTTTTTTTTTTTTTGTCTTTGTCTTTTTTCCGTGTCTGGCAACGGATTGCAACCCTCAGTGTTGCCCCCGTACCGGACCGGGGACCGGCAACGGGATCGCAACCCTCGGCACTGCTCCCGCGCCTCGCTCAGCCAGTGAGCGGGAACCGGTCTGTATGTGGGATCCGAACCCTCGGATGGGAGCGCTGCCGCGCTTCCCAAGCGGCGCACCATCCAGTGCGCCACCGGGCCGGCCCAAGCCAATAAATTTCTGTTCATTACAAAATTACCCAGTTTCAGGGATTCTCTCATAGCAGCACAAACTGGACTAAGACAGACCCCCAAGCCATACATTTCAATATCTTATTTCCCATATCTTTTATTAAAATGTCAAACCAATAAGAGAAACTAATTTGTAATTTGACATTTATTTATCTTTCTTTGGCTTTCTTTCTAATGATGGTGTTTCAAAATGATAAAAATAGAGAAACAAGAAACTATTAGGAAAAAAACAGCAGTAGAAGCAACGGTTTTGGAAAACACAAAAATATTCAAAGCATGGAATTTGGTGTGCAGCATGGGGTTTGCATTCTGGCTTTGCCACTGCTAACCAGGCAATCTTGGGAAAATTATTTTACCTCTCTCAATGCCAGTTTTCGTATCTATAAAACAGAGACACTTCAGAGAAGTCATCTGTGAATTAAATGATACCACATGTACAGTGCTTAGTTTCTGACATTAAATAAGTATTCAATAAATGAAGGTTATTATTATCAGCAATTAAATAATTAAAGTTGATATTTTGGTCTCTTGATCAAAACCAACCAAATTAACGCACTAAATTTTTTTTGAAAGTCTAACACGACAAGGATTTTTTTTGAAAGAGAACCTAGTAAAAGATTTGAAGAGTGAATATAAATTTTATTCTTAGAAATAGGAGAGAAGAGGGTGAATTTAAGAGCTCCATGACTTACTTCCCTAGTTAATTAATAATTGCATCTATTATACTCTGACAGCCCTCTCTTCATACTTGTGGGATGAGAGAGATAACATGTCTTATATACCTTTAAGCAGAATACTTATAGGAGTCTGTGAGTGATTAGATGCAAGGAATGAAGGAGAATATGGAACCTAGCTTGAACCCCAGGTTTCTGTCTTGGGCAACTGGACAATAGTGGGGCCACTAGCCCACCTCGTGAATGATGGTGGGGCAGCTTCAAGTTCCTCAGCCCATTTTGTTTGTTTGTCTTCTTAAACACAACTGAGATTACTTGGTCACTCTCTTTTATCCGCCATTGTACTCTATCAGGGTCATCTCATCCGCAGTAATGCTTCCACTGTATTGAAGTAAGCTGACTTTTACTTTAACGACATGCCTTGGGTTGGACGTCCCCCCAAAACTTAATCCCTACCCTAACTGCTGAGGGTGGGAAATCCTGTTATAGTAATTAAAAGGTGGGGCCTTGAAGAGGTGATTAGATTGTAGCAACACGCCCTAGTGAATGGATTAAAAATGGTGGTCAGCGACGTGGTTCTGAGAGCTTTAAAAGGAGAACGCATGAGAGTCTCTCTCTCTTTGCTCTGCCATTTTCTGCCTTGTGAGATCCTTGGGTCACTGTTGACACTACCAAGGCCTTAACCAAACGTCTTCCCTGGACTTTGGACTTCTCAGCCTCCAAAACTATAAGCAATAAATTTCATTTTCTTACAAATTACCCAGTTCCAAATATTTTTGTTATAAGCAACAGAAACGGACTAATACACTACGTTAGCTTGCTTTTTCATTTTCTTTCAACAATTCAATGAACATCCTTTGAGTGCCTATGGCATACGAGACTCTGCACTGGTTGCTGGGGACACAAATGTAAATAAGACATATTGGTTAGTTCTGTCCCACAGGTAGGAAAAAAGGGTTGTCTGAGGCAGTAGACACAACAACCACTTCTATCTAGGAACTGAGCTGAGCGGGGCATCGAGGGAGCATGAAAGGGGCCACGCTACAGCTGAAGGAAAGGTGTTGGAATTTGAAAGAGTTCTTTCTGGATGGCTTTTATTTTCTTGGAGAAAGAGAAGGTTAAGTAACTTGTTGAAATGAAGGTGAGCAGGAGTGGGTGGGCAGTCTGGACCCAAGTGGTAAAGGTTTAAGATAAGCACTAAAATGAAAGAGAAGGCAATTGTTTTGGGACAAGAAAAAGGACTGCTGAGCAGTGCTGAAGTGGGTTCTGAATGTACTTGGAAACCACAGATCGGAAGTGGTGTCTGTCAGCATCACCATTGTAATTTTCATCAGCAGCCCATGTCATCCCCAGGGCAGGGCCATGAAACACCAATGGTTGGATTACACGTGTGCTTACCTAACATTCACTAACTTAAATTATTAAAGAAGGACAACTAGGATCTCCATTTCAACAGAACACCTTAGAGATCTTTAGTACTCAGGTGGAATATGGGGTCTGTGCCCAACTCACCATTTTGCGTTTTCTCTGCTAACACTTAAGCCAGCGCCTGAGTGGGGAGTGGTTCTGTTTGTCGGCTCTTCAGTCCAATGAAGCTGACTTGGGTCTAAGGCAGAGACGGACAGGTCAGCTCCACTGCTGACCAGGACCACTGGAGTGTCTGAGGCAATAATGCACTGATCCTCAAGAGGCGGAGGAGGGACGGGGGGAGAAGGCGGTGGAGCCACAGGGGGTGGAGGAACTGTGGACTTGGCTTTGCCCGTGGCCTGCTCCTCGGCCCCAGGGACAGTCTGCTCGGCCTTGAGAGTCTCTACACCAGTCTCCAAAAGTTCTCCTTTAAGGTCGGATGTGACAGAAGTGGTTGTGTCTGAGGACAGTCGAGACGTTGCTGGCTGCTTGCCAGTTTTTTTCTTGCCCTTTGTGGTCCCCATTGTCCCTGTTTTGCTAGAAACTGTCTCCTTTGAAGCTTTGGGACGAGATGAAGTGGATGAAGTAGATGGTGAAGCTGATGCTTTGGAGCCAGTTGGTTTTTTTGAATGAGAGGAACCAGCTACAACAGAGAAATTTTGCATTAAAAGTCAAAGAATGCAATGCTTTTCAAATAAAGTAACCAAGTTGTAATTGTCGATGATATTTAAAATATTCCCTTTAAAATTTGTTGAATAAACAAATAAAAGAAATTAGGCTAATAATAATGGTCTTGTTTTCTGCCCCTTCCCTGCCTCCAATCTAGGAAACACCAAGTGATACATATGGCAAAACTTGAACGGACAAGAGCCGTCTGTAATCTGTCTCTTCTAGTCTTTGTCTGCAATAGCCAAAGGGAAAATCTTCAGCTCTCTGTCCTGGGGATCATCTGAAAAAGGCCCTGTCTGTTCTGAGAAGGGATATTATGGTGTACAGAGGACAGAAATCAGCAGCTAACCGGGTGTGGTATATACACAGTTGGGCTCATAAATTATACATGTTCTATGAGGTCTTTCTGGGAATGGAGCGGTGACCACATTCAAGAGACCTAGGTATATCCCACCATCTTCTTTCTGGGTCAAAAGCAAACTCACACTTCTGCTAAAAGAGTGAACTCCAAACCAGCTGTTCCCACAGCTCTAGAGAGAAGCTCACCATGCTGGTTTCTACTTCCATCTGTAGTAGTGATGGGGCAGAGTGAAAACACAAGGCCACATATGAAAGACAAGCTCTCTTCAAAACATCCAAAGGCAGAAAAAAATCTTCTTTTTTACAAAAAATAAAAATAAAAAAATAAATAAAAAAATTCACATGTGTAGCATCTGAATAATTTGAAAGGAAAGAATATCGTTCTCAAGTCTTCTGACCCCACCTTCACAAATCTAATCCTCTTTACCACTTATGTTCCCAGAAGGCCTACATCAAAGAGTCACCGTGCTATATTTACCCACTTCTGCATAGGGCCACCTTCAACCAAACCATTTTCAGGAAAAGAAGGTTAACTATGCTTTCCTTTATGTCATCTTAGGGAATTCACTTAAACTCCTAGGAGAATGTTCTTTTCTGTCATGACCTTTATGATCTACAAATTTCTCCTAATTGCTTCTTCTATGATAATGTTAGATGTTCCTGCTTTTTCATGATGGGTTAAACTACCTTTCACAAAACTGTAAGAAAATAACTTGTTACTTTTGTGGAGTCAATCTACACTGCACACAGATGTTATTGTCACTTACTTCTGGTTATAACTTTACTGAAGTCAATTGGGAGGGTCAAGAGTGAAGAAAAGATAAAGGAGTAGACAATGAGATGTAAGACTTCATTAATTCTGATATACCAAAGAAGCCAGTCTCTCATTTAGTGACAATATCCAGGCTTAAAAGGAATCTCTATGGTTTAGGGTCTCTATCCTTTTAGATATACATAATAACTAAAATTCTGCCCCCCTCCCCCTTCCTATTAATATCTTTTTATAGTTAATCTGGACCTGTTGATATATTTTTATGGTTAACAGCCTTCTCATGCTTACAAGTCAGACTCATCAAGCACACTCCTTCAACCTAAGCCCATTCTAAATTTATTTTTTGCAATAAAGATGCTCAGGATTTGGTGCTTAAATTTGGTGCCTAAATGTTCAATTATTTTCTTAGATAAGATAAACAGAATCTCTTCTACATATCAATTCTAATAATTTTTTTAAAAATCCTTTCTTTTCTAACAGAAAAGTTAACTTTAGCTTGGATTAAGGAAAATATTTTTTTCCCAATGCCTAGAGTATAAATTTATGATATATTTTTCTTTAAATAACTTCTAAAATGGTAGGACTTTGTTGAAATCAACTTTGTTGCTTAAGTTACTTAAATTAAGGCCATGATTAAAAATAATGCCACCACATTTCAGTTAAGTATTTTTGTTGTTAATAATGTATAACAATGAGAAAGAAAAAAATAGGGAGATTTAACTTTACCTCCCTGGCAAACTGGTATCTGGTGATCTGGAGGTCTATACTAACTTAGTAATAGAGGAAGAATCTTAACTGATAGCTCTTTTAAGAACTTAAAACATTGTACTGAAAATCAACTAACTTTTCCAGAAGGTCAACATTACTCAAATAATACAAAGTTACCATGCAGAAAGTTCTAAATGGTTGCGAATGGACTATCAGTAGAATTCTGAAGGGGGGATTATCAATATTTGGTAAAAGAATCCTTGCACCATGGGCTTGTTGGTGTACTTCAATGCAAGCCCTGTTTCTCTGTGACAGCCCCTGGAATAGCCACATTATTACTTACACTGAGGGTCAGTTGGGCCTCTGATAATAAGGATAAAGTGACTGTACTATTCTCTCAGAAACATCATGAGTCTATAAATAAATCTTCAAGCAAAATATCTGGAAATAACTCAAAATCTCGCATGAAAGCTGTCTCCCGCCCTTGCATTAATCATCAGCTTTCTTCTGAGAGAAATAAAGAGGGTCCAAGCTGAGTCCATAGTGAGCTGCTACCTAATGTGGGGAAGTAGGAAAGTGCGTGCCAGGCAGGATCTTAATTCCCAAAGACAGAGTGACAGTTCGGGGCTTTTCTTTAAGAAGTAGATCTGTGCCTGCCTCACTTCAAGCACTGCTCCAGGGTTTGCTAGGCAGTCCGGGAAACACACACACACAGATCCCAACAAGAATGGACACTGATGTGTGGGGACAGCTGGTCCCTGAGGAAATGGCCCGTGGGCACCGCTGGCATGTCATTCGGAGACATTTTATTTTACAGCTGATTAGAAGAGACCCAGACACTAAAGATGCTGAAGGTCAAAGGCAGGAAGAGGAACACAGGGAGAGAGACATCTATTTGCATTCAGAGATCTGTTATGCTGCCAATCAAACCATTTTCTGAATTCGAGCATTATGGGTATAAATTATGAGGTGAAAAGGACCATCACTAAGGCAAATCCTGGTAGCCAACTGCTAGAAAGCTGCTGCTGATTTTAAGGAAAATAAGATTTGCCATAGCACAGGAGAATTTTTATGCACATGTTAATGGGGAAAAGCCACTTAGCATGTGGTGTTTGATTAATGTCATTTTAAAAGCTAGATACCATGGTAGGCATCTTTATTCCACTTAACTGGAAGAATGGGAGCTCCACTTTGCATTAAACATATTTAATCGGAAAGGAAAGCTGGATACACATTACATGAGGTTACTGTAGGTCACCCAAACATCCACTGGTGATTTGTAATAGCAACTTGTAACTATATCACACCAGGATGCTTTGCCTTCTAACAAACTGAAGTCTACTGGAGCGAGGGTGGGGGAAGCTCTGAGCACAGAACTTTCAGTTCCACGGGAATAGTTTTGTCTGAGTAGAAAGTGATGGGGTGGAGGTGAACCAAGTGATATGAACCCTTTGTCATTTATCAGAAGGGAGAGGATTATGGATGCTGAAGATTTAACACATTAAGATCCAGCAATATGTCAAAGAGGTATCATATTCTTAAACGCAAACCTGAGATATTCTGAAAGAAAACTGGAGACAAAAAGCCACCCAGAAACTCAGATAAGCAGAAGGTCAGTCAATGTCTAAACAATGTTATATCAGATCATCCTTACTCATCAGGCATAGTATTCCCTGTATCCCTTCAACTGGGTCTGATATGCAGATAGCGGATACTCAGGATGAAAGAAGGACATTCACACCAAAACTAATGAGATGAACTAATGAACTGGTTGACTTTCTTTGGTAGATAGCAACATAGGAATCGCCTGGACATTCTTTGTGTCAAAGCTGAATCCACTGCTGTCACATCCTAAGACACCAAAAGACTATCACTCCCAGAAGAAATAATTAGCCCCATCCCAGAGCCGGGTGCCCTAGGCTCAACCCCACAGTGTGCTGGGGGCATACTCACCAGCCTCTCGGGTCGCATTTCGGCTTGTTGGCTTGGGTGGAGGGACGGGGACCTGCTTACCAGGAGCCTTGGTAATTTTTTTAGTGGGAGGCACTTCGTCACTTTTGTGGCTGGGCCCCGCAGTGGCCCCTTTTGGAGGCACAGGTGTTTTGGGGGGTTTAGGTTTAGGTTTAGGCTTAGGAAGAGCAGAAGGAGGAAGAGCAGGAGCTGCCGGTGTTTCAGAGTGGTTTTCAGTGTTCTCTATAAATGAGAAAGTGAACAGAGCAGACTGATACAGACACACACCATAGAAACACATGGAGCAAGACACATGACGACAGTGATACGAACATGTAGCTGTTGGGCCCGAGGGAACCAGATGGAATCTTGTACCAGAGAGAGCAGAGTTTGGGGTGAAAACAAAGGCTGCAAGACAAAGCGGGGTGTGTTCCCCAGGTACATGAATCACGGCTTCGATAAAACCAGGTCGCTCAAATCACTTTGATGAAGTCGTGTTGAGGATGAGGGTACATGTCCACAAGTCAGGGGCTTTGGGTCCAGCCTCGAATCTGTGGTTGCTGAATGATGACGCGGACATCACGTGCTAAACTTAAATTTAGCATATTTAACAATTCGGCAAAATCGAAAGCCCCCTTGGGAGTGGCAGATGAGCACATTACACACACCGCCAAAAGTGAGGACTGACAGCCACAGCAGTGACTGGACTCACAGTTACCTTAGAGAACTCAAGCCCAATGCATCTGAAAGGGATTTGTGCTCAGTCTCACTGTGGTCAAAAATCATTGATTTTCTAAGCTAAAGGAGACTCTGGAGGGTCTTTCATGTGAGTCACAATGCAGTGAACAATGAACTATTTTCTACCATGAAAATGTTCTCAATCTCTCCCAGTATGCTGGGAACAGCAGCTTCCTGTTCTACCATAACTTCCTCTGCCCTTTTCAAATAGCATCCCAGCTATAGGTACAGAGGGTGCAGAATCCAAAATATATGGTTTGTTTTGTGATGTACACACAAACAATGATTTTGAAAAGACAAAGTTTAAAATTTGTACCAAAAAGAAAATCATACTAAAGAACAGAAGCCTCTCACAAGGTTTTGCATAACTGGAGGAGAAACTGTATTAACCTTTCATTACTGAAAGAAAGCCAAGATGCGGAAGGTTCATTCATATATTCATATCTACATTTCTTCTAATAGTGACTGATTGACATTAAAATAAATTAAAATATGGCTCTGGTCCAAAGAGCTAATAAGCAGCACTTCTTCAAAAAGGTAGCACAATGAAAAACGAAAGACAGTGTTAAGACAAGACTAAGCCTTTACTGGATATGTCCTCCCATTATGGAATGACTAAGAAAGAGTTTTCATATTGAAATATATTGCATTTTTAATCTCTTTTTAAGAACTATTTCTTTTGCTTCATTTCTTTTCCTAGTGAGTGTGAAGTAAGGACTTCTCTCTCTTTTCTTTCTTTTACCACATCCACCATCAATCTACATATAGAACTACCGTAATAATGATTTAACTTACAGCAGGTAATCAATAAAACTTTTGAAGTTCACCTTTTATCCTGCCTCAGCCATGAAACCCTCCCCAGTCACAGCCCAAATTGAACTCTCTTGCCTCTGAACTTACTTGGCCTTATTGTGTAAGCCACTTACTCAATATTTATCAGAGGCTACTTTGTATTTTTGCCTTTCTAATCACATATTTTGTCTCCTCAACTAAGCTGCTTGTCACTTATAACATAGTAGCGGCCCTCCTAACCCAGCTGGTCTAGACCAGGCCAGTTAATTGCAAACCAATTAGGGTTGAGAACAGATATATTGACACATGCCAAAAACATTTTATTTTAACGTAACATATACAAATATACATTGACTTGCCAGTCTTTCAACATAGGGTGGACATCTATTCTTTAAATATATCTTTGTAACTTTAGCCCTTAGCATAATACTGTAATGCACGCTGATCAAGCCCAATAATATTGCCAACGGTGACAGCCAAACTGATCTGTAACACCTGGTATCTTAATTCTCTTTCATACCACAAACCCAGCAAGTGTCTTATCCTTTCTCTTCATGGCATGTCACTGAGGGATCTTTTTTCTTTCCGCTTAAGGTCTTAAGTTTTAAAGTTATACCCCAAAGAGTCCAGCTTCTGGGTTTGGGAAGGAGGAGATGGTATGCTCCATACAGTTGAGAATGACAATCCTTACCAGGAAGGAAATGAACACTTTGCACACAAGCTTCCTGCAGGCTCCTTGGGCAGCACAGCTCCGTCCTCTTTACTCTTCCAACGCTACCAATTATCTGGGAGTGTCTGTCGCTTTGGTGATTCGTAAGTTGTGTTTGTGTGTGTGTGTGTGTGTGTATGCACAAATGTGAGTGTGCAAATAATGTTTTTCTGGCTAAATCATGAGCTCCTTCTGTATGATATTTTATGCCCCATCAGACACAATGCTCTAAACACTATGTCTGTTCAATGAATATGACTGACAGGCTGATAGTTATTGATGCACAAATCAGCAGAAAACAGACTCTTTCCTGTAGCTGGGAGATAATGAATTAAGTTGAGTTTTTACTATTACCATATGTTCTAAAGACATGATATAAACTGATGTTATCGTTTCAAGAGGAGAGTAAGAAAGGGCTGCCTATTCACTCTGGCTTGATAAGGACACTATGCCGCACAGCAGTGTGGTCTGGAAGACAAGCTGTTCACTCTACTTCCAGACTTGGCTCCTTCCGTCACATGAAGTGCTGGGTCCACAATACCTACAGCAAGCCCAGAACCACATGCATTCCTTGCCTTGCCTAGAATGCACTTCTGCTCCAATTCTTCTCCTTCATCTGACTAGCTCTTTGTGTCTCCTTCAGGTCTTAGTTTGAAAATATCTTCCTCTGAGAACCAACTTGGGTCCCTGCTGTGAGCTCCCCTGGCTTGCAGTGCTCAGGCCTTCCATCGCATCTTGTACTGCAACCACCTGTCTGCATGCTGGCCTCCTGTCAGGCGTGGTCTGCTTAAGGGCAAGGGCCATTTTTCATTCACCCCTCCTTTTCTGGCCTCCAATAGAGTCTTACGGTAGACAAATAAGAGTTTGCCACTTTTCACTTCACTGAAAAATCCTTTACACTAGAAATAACATCAAATTTTCAGATTTTTCTTTTTTTTTTTTTCCTTTTTGTCTTTTTTCGTGTCCGGCAACAGGATCGCAACCCTCAGTGCCGCACCCGCACCTTGCTCAGCCAGTGAGCGGGAACCGGTCTGTATGTGGGATCCAAACCCTCGGCGGGAGCGCCACCACGCTCCCAAGTGGTGCACTGTAACAGTGCGCCACCGGCTGGCCCATGATTTTTCAAATTCAATACCAAGCTATATTTAACAGATCACAGATGAGTTTTTCTGCTCTCATATATTTAAAGGCACTTACTGAGAAAGAATAGTGGGAGACTAGGAGCCCTGAAGACCTTAAAAAAGAAGTCTTGGGTGTTAGGCAGAGGAGAACCAGGACCACTGTACCAACTACACAATCAGGACCCTTTGGGAGGCCCAGAAATACCCACGTGGCCTGGGCAGAACCTACCCCCAGAGTGAGTGTGAAGGACATCCCTTGCCATTTGTTCTGCTTTCTGTGACACTGATGTTTCAAATATGAAAGTATTGAGATATTGTCTTATAAGAAGATTTAATAAGCACCTAGGACTTTAAGGGCACATCATGTGGTTTTACAAATACAGCCAATTAACAGATGAAATAATGCTCTTGAATAAGCTGGCTTAATGCAGAAGGAAAGGAAGCATTGTGTTCCCACACAGAGGGTGAATGAAGATCCCAGGACGGTGGGTTTGCACGATGATGAGCTAGTGCGAGGAGTGGGCTCAGAAGGGCAGCAGAGGCAAAAGTGAATCCTGGGCTGGCTTTCAGAATTAAATGGTCTTTCCAGAGAAATAAATTGTTACCTTTGTTCATAAGGCATTTTCTATTTAACATAATACTCTGTCATATGAGTCATGAGTGACATTCTTTTCAGTCTCAGGAAGTGTCTTCCTTACCTAACACTTCCATGCAACGTGAGGAGCCACATGGGCTTATGAGGGGCATGAGGGCACTTCCAGCACTCCTATCACCTCACATACTGACTCGCCAGGCAAGATGCTAGCCTGGACCCTATGTGACTAGGAAAAACTTAATGTACTAATTCTAAGTAAAGAATAAGAAAAGAAAAACACCTCTCTACTCATATTCATGGACTTATACGGTCTGCCACCTTCTTTCTGGAACATCAGGGTCTGCTGGTTAATTAACATAAAACTGTTGGCAACTTTTTATTAGGTTGATAAGGAATAAACTTCCTTTGAAGTCTGGCCAGCCCAGTGACTGACACCCTACACAGGCCAGGCAAGCACTAACGATAGCACTGTGACAAAATAAAGGACATGATTCTTGAATGTGAAAAGGTTGTGGCAGGGACAAACCACAGACGGATTTGAAATTTAACAGTTTGGTGAGACAGGACAATTAAACTTAAAAAAGAAACCCAAAAAACCAAAAAACATCCCTACTTGCATTAATATTTTCAACTGAATCCTTTTAAAATTTATTTAAGTCTACTTTCTCTTCATGTTCCAGGAATGTTATCATTAAAAGTATTAATTTCTCATAAACAGTGTTCATAAGCTTAACCAGAATTCTTCAATGGACCAAGACTAAGTAGGAAAGCCCTATGAATACTATGCTTAATATTTGAATACAACAAAGTAATAAACTTCCAACAGATTATTAACATAGGTTTCTAAAACTTTTAAAGGCTAATTTATATCCAAATAATAAATGGTTATGGACTTCCAAAGAAGATTATTTTAAGTTACAGCCTGTGTTTAATAGGGCCATCAAATGCTCTTTTGTTTCCTTTGTCTTTGGAGGATTTGGGTCAAGAATAGAGCAAGAGAAGCTCTCTTTCAGCAGTTTCTAAGAGTTCTCAAAATGTCTACTGAACCCAAACTAGGTTTGATAAATTTTTGCCAACTCAGAGGCAGACATTATAGAACAAGAAATAACTTATTTCCTGAAGATTCCCTCCTAGACTGCATGGAATCATCTAGAATCTTCCATAAAAACCTTTCCTTGTGGGAGCTTCAGTTCAAGTTTGCATAAGTTTGAGGCTTGGAGGTTCCTGCAGGTAACAGCAGTGGCTTCTGGATGTAATCAGTCCATGCCCAGGAATCTGTGAATGTTCCTGTGGCCTTGATAGACATATATTTTGCAGGTATCTCAATCAACCACAGCATATTCACTCTAGAAAGCAAAGTCTCTAAAGAAGCCTTCAGAGAAGAGCATGATTGCCTCTGGCGCATTTTGAAATTTCCAATTGCACAGGCAAATCACCGACCAAGCAGAGGCTGTGGCAATCAGCCTGTAGATCAACCAAAGCCCCTGGCATCTCTGGGAGCTATTCCTGGATCTCTCTCAGAAATGTCTAGAACCTACAACATCAGGTAAGAGGATGCCATCAGCCAAGTTCCTGCTCCTGGAGAGACAGTGTTGGGCTGGAAGAGTCGTGTTTTGTATTCCTCTCTGTAGAGCTGCTCACAGAGACCAGTTGTCAACAGCAGGGATCTTTGTAATTTAAGATCCTGAAAAACAGCTTCTAAGAGGATAATATTCCCAGAAATCTCTAATACTTGAAGAGACCACCCCTTTTGATTATTTCCTTTAATTAACACTCTTTAATAACAAAAAAAAAAATCAAATGATGTGCTTACAGAATGACTGCATCTACCTGAGGAAATCATCCCATTACTCTGCCCCTGTCATTTCTCTCTTCTTTGTTTTGCAAACCTCTCTGCAGATGCTGCTGGTTTTAGAGTCACAATTTGGAGCCCAAGACCTGGTTCTTGACCTTGAGCTGTACTAAAGTAAATAATAATGGGGTTTCTCTTTATTTTACCTTTCTTATCTTCTGCCTTTTCCTCCAGAGGTGGTGTTTTTTCAGATACAGAGCCATGACCTTCTTCAGACTTTACTACATTTTCCTCGTGGGTAGATTCCTCTCCGATGGCTATCATGTGCCCGTTTGAATTTTCAAAGTTAACTGTTACATCTCCATCTAAAATGGGAAAGAAACACCTAGATGTCTTACTTGATGGCTTTTGTGAAGACCAGTTTTCCAGTTACTAAGAGTGTAGGATTTGGGATCATGTTTCAGTCCCTGAGAACCAAATGTGCCCTGTACTGTTTCACTAAATAATTTGTTCAAAACAAAAGAGCTAGAAAATTCTTAGTCCTGGGGAAAGCAGCCATTAAGGGAATGTTCATGTACCATTTCAAGGCAGTAGGAATGATTATCTTAATTACACAATAGGCCAGGGCAGCTGAGTCCCTGCGTTCTTGTGCTTAGGTTTGGTTGAGGTCAATACTTATGGGTTTCTTTGTCATTCAGAAACTGAATGGAGAAAGAAACAATCTGCAGAATGGAATAAACATTTTAACAAGCACCAAAAACACAAGGTAAATGCAAGTACACAAATAACATGAAATGCAGTTACACAGACAATTAGTGGGAGAATATGAAAATTTCCAAGCACCACTGTCTCTAGAATATATTACATATATGATGCATTAACTTAATATAGTAATATAAATGCTACTCTATATTTAAAAAAGGATGGTAGCAAAGTTAATTTTATTCTCATTTTCTTTTTTACAAAAAGATTAAAATGTACTCAGCTAATTGTTATATATAACCGACCCAAAAGTTTGTAAATTGGCCCAATAATAATTTGAAAATATTAGGGGGAAAATTGTGCGAAAAGTAATTTTGGAAGATTTTTTTAAAAACACAGCTGAAAATAAAATTTCTAATGTATTACCTAAATCATACATAACTAATTTTAACCCCTGAACTTTCATAATTCCTGAGGGTTTCTAAAGAGATTTTGCAGAAACTTATGATTCAGTGATGTTTGAAAAGGTTAATTCTAGTTCACACCTGAAAAAATTTAGGAGGCTTTGCTACCATTATAAGAGAAAAATTAATGAATTGAGGTTTTGACTTAGCAAACTTAAAGAAATGCATGCTTAGAGCTGTTTCTACGAAATTTTTGATTAAACTTATTTTGGTAATCATTATAAAACAGACAGTATTTCCCAAATTTTCATTAAATATGATTGAATTGCTTTGGTTCAACAATAAAATCAATTGGCCTTCTTGACAAAAACAGACATGACATTTTAATAAGTAAAACACATATTATAAAATTATGTCATGCTCAAAATGAAAAAGCAATTATTGCTTAGTCATATAACTCCCAAGAACCTATAATCTTATTCCTACATAAAACTAAAATAGATACTAATTGAAGGCAATGCCACTGCAAGTCAATCTTAACCATTTCAATAAAATTAATGTGAGAGTTTTTTAAAGGGTATATGTCAAACCGAGAAGAACCAAGAGATTCTTCAAGAAGACAGGACAATATATCCAGACAAACTAAAAATGATATCAGCATGGAAAAGTCCAAACAAAATAGAAAACCACTTTTTTACATAAAAATTCTTAGTTTTTAGGTGATTCAAATACAGAGTTGTTTTCTTTCACTTTACTGGTAATTAAAATATACTGAAGTCATGTTAATGACAATGTAATACTATCTTTTGTAGGTTAAATAACCGATTTTTAAATTTTAGAACAAAAAAACTGGAGAGAAAATTAAATAGGTGCGGCACAAGAAGAAATTGGATTATTGCATGATAAATAGCCCATAATGTGGAAAGATACTTACTTTGAGGCATGAAATAAAACTAATGCATATAAAAAAAAATAGGAAAAAGAGACATGTTTGTGGTAAATATGGAATTCAAGAATAAAACAGAGAACTGAAGTGATTAATTAATTGGGTGTGTATTGAAAAGGTTTTCTAGTTTTGTGTGCTAAGAAAGTTGTTTTAGAATTAAAATAAGTTGAATCCTTGATATGGTATATGTGCGAAGGTACTTCAAAAAGTTCATGGAAAAATGGAATTAAAAGATAATAAAAATCTTTCCAAGTACTTTTTGAAGACCCCTCGTATGTAAGTAAAACGTAAGCGCAGCAAAGGAAGGCAAGAGAAGATGCTGAGCTGAGCTGCAGGTTATAACAAGAGGCCCAGGCCAGCAAGCCTCACAGGAGCATTTGTATGCAAAGGAAAGAGAAAACTCAAGAAAGAATTGTAAGCTTAAAGTAAAACAAGAGATAAAGCACAAATATTAACAAGTGGTTAAATAAGGAGCATGAGAGTGTTGAAAGGAGTTTACTGGTAAACCCCTCTCTGGTAAACAGGTGTATTGGGGATATAGTTAAAGGAGGAACAGATAACAGGAGAAAATCATGTATTACCAAAGGGTGGGTGACATCAGAAGGTTAAAAGTACACGATGGAAGGGGAAAAAAAAAAGGAGGATAGCAGACAGGCAGGAACACCTACACGCCCTCGAGTTAAGGGAAAAGATGGGAAGAAAGAACCAGATGTAAGGAACAAACTTGGTGTAGACCACGGACTTCTCAGGAGAGAAGACCAATCACTGAGCTTTTACAATGAAGGTATATCTTGATGTACAACACATCACCTAAGAGGAATAATAATAATAGCTAGGAGTGAGGGTGTGGGACAGGATGGGGTGAGGTCAAGCCCAGGGTAGCTGGAGGAATTTAAAAAGTCTATCTGGCTCACTTGAATAAAGGGCATAATTGACAAGCACTGTCAAGAGCAGAGGAAAGGTCAGAAAGACCAAGGCAAAGAATGAGTTGGCAGAAGAGAGGAGGTTTTCTCCAGGAACAGCAACTTCCAATCTCAGAGACTGAAAGTCTCAAGATAATTGTTTTTGGGAAAAAGACAAAAAACTATTTTCTCCAGCTCTTGGCTGAAAAGGGGAAGAACTCCATTTACAATAGGAATTTCTGGGAACTTTCGAACATTAGGTAATTTCTACAGTTCAATATAGGCACTTTCCAAACATTAATTCCCAAACCCATTATATTATATTTAGGTTAAAAACTGTTTTGTTCTTTTATGTTTTAAAACTTTTAATATTCATCTACAGAAATTAAATTAAAAAGGTCAAACAGAGGAAGATTTCTGAGAAATAAGTGTATGTTGGCCCAAGAAACTGTAACAAATGATGATACAAATAGCTTAACGGATAAGGCAGAAGAAAAACCATGCAAAACTAAGCATTTCTTTAAATTGACCATTGCTACTTGTTTTTAGAAAAAGTAAAATCTTTTTCTACCTATAATTTTTAACTAGGAAAAGATGGGCCTTTAATCTCGATCTTCAAACCTTTTAAGTTTCAATCATAAACTGTTCCTTTTTTTCTGTCTTTAAAATATTTCCAAATATAGGATACCAAGCAAATGTATTTGGACCGCTTCATAAAGGTGATGGCTCCATGCTCAGTTTTCAGTGGAGATATAATTTATCTACCACCTCCAGAGAGATTGAACAGGAGATGAATTGTGGTATTGCAAAGCCTATCTTTAAGTTAAAAAAGTTAGGGATGTGCATTTTTTATTTTTAAAAGTCCCAGGAAATAAATGGCGTCAAGGTAATAGAAAATTAGGGACGACATAAAGTTCATTCATTAAGTAGAGTGAGAAAAGTTTGACAAGCCAGGAATTGAAGTAAAATACCTAAAATTGTGCAGACTTGAGAAAAAAGGTATATTCTTCATTCTAGATTTCCCCATTTTTTTGAAGCAAAAGTAAAACAGTAAAGCATTTCCCAGCTCCAGTGTGGAATTATTCAGATGCTGGAAAAAGCATGTCATTTTGATTTATAAATAGTGAATGCCAAAAATTGTTAAGTTCTTTGCAAGGAACATTTAACAGGAAAAGAGATGTACTATTATTTCAATTGCAAATTAATAGCATTTTATTTGTTCCTATGAAAGTACAATACTAATACTTTACCTCAGTAAATGTTTGGGGGATAGAAGGGATGTATGAGATAAACCAACAATGTTGCAACAAAATGTTCTTTAGGTTTAGTAGTGGGAGCCATGAAAATCATTCAGTGTTATTGAGTTGGAGAAATGACCAATGTTGGTATCTTCTTTGGAGGGTCAATCTCAGTTTCTATCTAATTCTTGTCTTTTTTGAGCAGGATTCCTCCTTTGAAGGATAGAGAAAAAAGGGAAAAAGACTGGAGGTCAGGAAAAAAATACTTGAAAATAATCATTGTTAGTGGAAAGGTGAGAGGGCAAGTAGATTCAGAGAAATGAAAAGAGAACAAAACTGGAAAAATTACTTAAGAGAATGTACAAAGCAGATTAATTTAATTTGCCCATTTGTGCCTTATCAATTGTACATTTGAGTGTGTTATTGAATGTAAAGGAGGTACATTGCCATCTCTTTCCTCTCTTTTCTTTTAGTGGTAGTCTTAAGAAACAAATAAGGCATGAATCAAGCTAGAATTTTGCATTTACTCAAACAAGAATTTAACTTGAATAGAAAGATTGAAGCCAAAGAACAGAAAAGAGAAAGAGTCACGAAAGCATTTGTATCTTATCTGTATCTCTAGCCACAGACGTACCTTTGTAGCATTTTGGATTTTGAGTGACATATGGTGAAGAATTCGCCAGAAAAGTCACTGGATTTCTTTTCTGTAATACCTCAGATTCTCTGCAGCCCACAAGGGCATTTGAATTAAAGCAAGATTCCTGGAGTGCATTACTCACTGCTTTATCGGACAAAGACCATGGTCATTTTAAATTTCAAAAGAAAAGGAAAGAAAGACCAAAGAAGGAAGGATCAAATTATTTTAAATGTATGATTAATGTCCTCACCTTGATCAGGCAATTCCTTAAGAACTCCCCTTCTTATCAGCTCCTCTCTACTTTGTCTTGTGGATATCTTCCTTTCTAACACTTTTAAAAAGAATAAGCACACGTGAGAACCAAGTCATTGCTTAAAATAATTATGGTAAACATTCCAAGTAGAATTGAGCACATTCATTCTGTTCACGTGACGGCTCAAACCTGTTTTTTTAGTTGCCTACCAAAACATGTGATTGGTGTCCACATCAATACAGCTCGGACAAGGTCAAATGACACCAGCCCATGACCTGAAGCCCAGCCACAGTCCCTGGTCTTTCATATGATAATTTTTAGCCATGAATCCAGATGTATTATTCCATACCAACTGCAGAGCATAAAGGCCATGTCTCACTCTGAAATATTCTTTTCTTTAGTAAAGATGCATTCTAATACATATGCTTCTATGAATATGCAGTGCATGTAGAGGATATGTATGATTATACAAATAAAAACAACCCATAAACTTTTAGTAGATATTCAGGTAACTCATCTGAATCCCAGACAGAAAAGACTACTTTACTAGCATTTTCTCTTTCAAACCACCTATTACAAAAGACTAAACACATCAGATTTCTGTAACTCTTTTCTCTACCATACTCATATATTCCATAGGATTCTTGTATATGCCCTGTCAAACCCCAAGTCTTAGAAGGATGGAGAAAGGAGTTAAATAGGCAGCTTTCAAGGCATGTATTTTTTTTTTTTTTTTTTTTTTTTTTTTTTTTCGGGGGCCGGA